GAATAGAGAAGAATCGCAAAAAGAAGATCGAAAAGAGAAGATCGAAGAGATGCGTATTGCGTTAGTTTATGAGATATACGTATGCGTGTGCGCGTATGGATATGAGTGTGTGTATTCGGTATGGGTTATGCCTTCCTAAATTTCACTCTATGTATAACGAAGCGACTTTAAATTCATCCCTCTCTCGTTCCAATCAATCAATTTTGCTCGCATCTTAATATACCCGCGCCGCGAATAGTAATTTATCTGTCAGACATTGCTTGAGTACCAGGGGGAGACGTAAAAAGTAGCGCCAAGCGATTGACTAGAGCTTGGGTCCTGTACCTGGATGGCCTGCCTCGCCAGTCGTGGGGGTGTTTCTGTTCCATTCCCATGTGCTGCGCGGAAATATTAATCTTCGTGTACGGTGTACCCTTGGTGCACTTATATCGAAGATCTCGCATATGCGGTGAGACGGATTGGTCGTGGTCGGAGCACTCCTGCGCAGGGGCATGGATATCCTTGTGCAGGGCCCTGCTCGACTGGAACTCTGGTTACCCAAGTGGAATCTGGCATTTTGTAATACTGCCACATTCAAGTTTAAGTTTAATTAAGCACTATCTATGAAAATACATATGCTCGAATCAGCTTTAATTTTTCACGTCATTATAGCAATCGAACGTAAAAGCACAAATGTCCAATAGATCAGCGCGTATACTTCGTCTGCGCTGCCGGTTATTACCATCTATAAAATTTTACGAACCGAAAATATCAAGCTACTCGAACGTGCCAGCCTTTTAACTTTTCCCAATAGCATTAAAACTTTAATAGGACTGTATCAGATAAACAGAGAATTAAAATCATCAGTCGTCTCGAATTTCTAAGATCTGATAGTGCAAGTTGACAAAGATGAAGCGGCTCCTCAGTCTCTGTTTTACTTAATTCTATTCACTTGATTGCACGTCTCTCGGACATTAATCACATCACAAATACTTGTCTCCGCGATAATAAAACTATAAATGGCTATTCGAATGGACGAATTTCACGATTACGGAAAAACAAGGAACATTATTTTTATCGGTCCTCCGATTTTGCCCAACTGACGATTCAGCAGCTGCTACTTTATCGGAAGCGTACGTAATCAATGGTTATCCTATCGTTTTCAAGGGAAACATGTTGGCAGACATTACTGCCGAAGGAAAAGCAGGGTTTCAGATCGTTTCCAAGGAAACAGAGGATATTATCGCATAAAGAAGACCGTTATAAACTCCACTCGCCTGATGGTTCTACCTGGACATTCTCCTTGTCTTCCGTTTCTACTACAAAATAGAACATGCACTCTACAAATGCATTGTATTTCTTCGTTATTCTCGGAATCGTATAACTTGGCACGATTAATGCAGATCATTTGTTCCATTTATTTTACATTAATTTTACAACTAAGATCGAGGAGGCTTTCTTGAATCTTTTTCTTTACTTGTCGAAATAGAATCAAATCTTTACGGATCTTCGGTTCCAGCTGCGGCTTCTCTTCCTTTGCTCGAACCGTCATATGAATAGGTGCAATAAAAACATAACTCTTGGTCGGTCCATTCAGCTAATTCTTTTCGTTAAGGGAATTCCACGTCGTGATACCTCACGGTCTACGTCTTTCCGTGTTGTATCTTAAATTTTTAGTTACGCTGTTGCTCCAGCCCCCTTTTATTGCCCTTTTTACCTTTTTCTCGGGGTTCGTTTTCGACTTCGATTCTCTCCGGTACCAGTTTCTTTCCAATCCGCGGTTGAGCCGCACGCGTGTTGCGTAACATTGTCCATTCTCGTTCGCGGTATAATTATATCGACTTGGTCTTATCAAACATTCGTTGTGTGCACAGTGGAATTTTAATCAGTTTTTAAAGTCATGTGAGTGACGTTTATTAGAGTGTCAAGAGAAAACAATTTGAAGAGTGAGGTGAATGTTTGTTCAGTTCCTTGCACGAAATCTAACAGGAATTAAATGTATTGATACATATTTTCTCACGTTAAATCGTATTTATTCGAGAAATTCTCTGAAGCTTCACCATTTCGATAGAGGTTGGCGTTATTGAATTTTTCTGAGTCAATTCCTTGTCACACGCCCATGGTCCAGCATGGCTGCTCGTGTTACCATAGTAACGCACTTTAACTCTGTGTTATAACCCTCGCGAAACTCTCACGCTGGGAATAAAAGGGGCGGTACGAAAAGAGGGTGAATGGTGTGCTCAGCATTACGTGATCGCACGATGTAACCCGAAATGTCTCTTAGATCTATGACGGCCATTAAAAACCAGACCGTGCATGTTTATTAATTCATTTGCAATTCGATGAGATGAGTAACCGAAAATTGATGATAAAAATAATATAAAATGGCGATGCCATATGGTTCAGTCATGTCTCTGAGGGGGAGAATGATTCCTACTGAATTGTATTTCAAATTTCAGTAATTGCTATATTTAAACTAACTTAGAAGAGAAGAATATCTTGGATTTTATTACTTATTATTATTAACTAGACAATATTTTACTTTACACATCTATCTTGTATGTATTTGTAGTATCGCGCAGAAAAAAGGAAATAGGAGGATTCATTTAAGTAGTTTTATTATTAAATTAGTCGGTAATAATTTTTCTAATAATTATCATAGAGGAAATGTCAGCATAAATAGACTGGCTGATAAATGGATTCTTACAAGAGGAGTACCATTTTTCTTCTTGGTTTCCGGCGTAAAGAACGATACTCGCGTAGCCAGGAATTTGCAATACAGCCGAGTTTATTGGATAATAAAGGCAAAGCAGCGAACGGTGCTTTTTTCAAATGGTGAAAGCTGCCGGGTGACTAGATAAAAATCCTCAAAGTGGTACGATAAAACGTAACCCTCCGACAGTCATCGATAAATTCCGGACTCTCGATCGAGGCGAGCAAATATGAGCCCATCATTGCGATACTAAAATTAGAGATGCATCATCACTCGACTGTGAATTCTTATGTAAAATAAAACAGTTTGTCAAATGTGTTTAAGATCGCTTTTATCAATTGATCATTGAACATTCAGCTTTCGGTATTTTGAATAGTTGTTTCCATTCATAATTTCTGCACGTTGAATTTTCATATAAATGCATGAATTGCACGTATTACGTAACTGCATGAACGTGTATCTCCAGTTCGTGTAACGATTCGTCAGTGAGAGGTGCCCACGAACGAAATAAAATAAGATTTATTCTAAATTGGGAGCTATACTCAATTCTTGTTTAAAAAGTCTATCAGTTGATATTTATACCGCTCTCTATCGTTTCTTACCGAATTATTTTTTACTTCACTACACGCGCGAAGTTGGAAGAAACAACTGACTCGAGGAAATACAAGCCTACAAAGCCTGGAATCTTTACGCTTTTTAGAATATATTTCG